GATATAAACTAGACAGATAGACAATAAAAAGATGGACAGATTGACACAGGACAGATGGACAGATATAAACTAGACAGATGGACAGATAAACACTAGACAGAAAGACACTAAACAGATTAACAGATACAAATACAGATACAAACAGCTTGAAAAGACAGCTTGACAGATTGAATATAGTATATACAATGAATGCATTCAGATATTTATATACAGTAAGTTCGATAAAAAATGTAAATTAATTCACTAAACAATTTACAATTTAACAAAATTTAGTGTTATTTGATGTTTTGTGTGTTCAGGTTTGAGAAAAAAAAATCTATACATTTTAAAAATGTTTAGACAAGACAAAATCTTTAAATTACCCTGACCATTGGTAGTAAAATAATTCGGTATTTCCTGGAGATCGATTTTTGAACCCCCCATCCTGATTGCAGCTATAAACATGGGCCTTTTTTTCATACATCACAAAAGACTACTTCAGAATTGTGAATTTTGACTAGATTTCCCCTTTAAACTTTTAGTGTTTTAAAACACAGGAACATTGTTTTTTTGTTTACATAAATATAAAATCTACGAAATATTTTTAGTTAATTGGACAACTCCAACTCTTTGGACTCCAGCCGTTTAAAACCCGACACTTAGTAAATGAAAACCTGTAAAACTAACTGTAACTAAACATGAGTCCGGTTTCCTTTAAAACCTCACCCAACTGTCAACTCTGTCATCACGTAGCGAGGAATCCCTAAACTAAGAGAGAAGACTACTGACTACTGACTAAACAAAATCAGCTGCTTTCCGGCTGCCGGTACGGTACTTTCTCATCATTCATATCAAGCTCTCCTTTAGCACGGAGCAACGAAACAACAGAATTTCCGACCATTTAAATGAATTACGGAACAAAATCATTGACAATTTCTTTAGCTTCTGAAACAAACATACTTTTAAAAAAGAATAAGATTGTTACTTTATTTCAAATTCAAGTCTAGAAGTTAATATATCAAGGCTCACATTTTTTTTCATTTTTCCAGTGGGCCTTAACGTCCTCTAAAAACATAAATGACGGTGTATCTTTCGACCTACGCATATCATCTTACTCCACTTCCGACCTTCGCCATGATCCGCTATACTACACTCCGACCTTACAGTAGCACAAGGGTTTATACGGCTGTAATTTGGACTTGCAAGGGTGCGTACGCAGATTAATTTCGATTAATTTCGAGTATTATGCGTATTCTGGCGTTAAAGATTGGAGATAATCTAATGATATGGGACGCTCATATTTTCATGCTTGAGCTTTTTTGATCTTTACAGGATATATTTACAATTTTACATCAAATTTACTTTCCCTGTATTAATAATAAGTATTGGCAATTCGTGATTCAAAATATTTTGCAGTACATTTATTTATATTTTTAACTCAAATCTCTATACATATTAAATACCTCCATTTTTTTTTCGCAAATAGTTTCTCATTTAATAAATATCAATTAAGGCAACATACATCTATCTTAATAAATTATAATGTGTGATACAGGGTGTCCCACGAAACATGACAGAATTGGTAAATAGTTTTGAATGTCGTCTTCAATGCACTTATTAGATACTACGGGCCTGAATCAATAAATTCTGAAGTCCCCGTACGTGGTGAACCCTCATTAAGCTCTGTAACGTGTATAATTTACAGGGTGTCCCGCGAAACCATGACAAGACGATTGACTGTCGTCATAGAACTTCGTATTTATTTGTGACATTCAGTCGTCAACCTAGTTCCACATTCTTAAAACAGTAAACACAAAATTCTTCTAGTACCTAGTCCTGAAATTTTCAAAATGTGGTCTGCCTTTTCTGTGTTGTCAATATTACCGGAGATATTAAGAATTTCGCTCAGATTTTATTAAAGAAAACCAAAATTTGTATTTTGTGATTATCAACTAGAATTAGAAATTTGCATCTAAAATCAAGTTTACGAATAAATGCCAGTTTTTTTCACAGATCAATGACGACCATCAGTTCGTCTTGCTACTGTCATGTTTCGTGGGACACCCTAACTGTATAATCTATACAAATCAGATTTCAAACCATTAAAAACTGGAAATAACCAAAAGTATCTAAAGTATTATTCACGTTTCTTACAGAAATATAATATGTGACACATGGGTGACGGGTGGGGGGGGGTGGGGTTAAACTGGAATTTGAACATATGTAAATACATACAATACATTTATCATGTTATGTATGTATTCAAATCATGAATTTATGTGTTTAAATCAGCAATTATAAGGCAGATATATGAAGAATAGATACAGGGTGTCCCAAAAACATGGGAATTCAGTGACGAATTCGATATCGTCTTTTCAAATAATTCTTTGATTTAGTATAGTGATACCTACTGAGAGGCTGTAATCTGTAAGAGTTTCGTCTGCTATGTTTACATTTTGTTTGTTTATGTTTTGACTGCAACCGGTTGTACTTAGTAAAACAAGAAAATTACAGTATACAAACAGAGTAAACTTGTCCGTATTCACTGTTCATCTTGCGGAGACATTATAGACACATCTTTGCAGTCTTTTACCCTTTTCTTTAAATAAACTCTAGCAGACATAATAATATTATGGCTTTTGAAATTAGGTATTACAATGCTAATTCAGAACAAAGACGATATCGAATTCGTCACTGAATTCCCATGTTTTTTGGGACACCCTGTACCATACGTCCATATACTAGTTTTCATTTTACAGAGCGTCCCATATCATATTAGATTATCTTCAATCTTTAACGACAAAATAAATCTTTAATACTCGAAAAACTTATCATTTTCCGCAAGAAAATTCTTATATAAGCCTTATATTATTTTTCAAAATGATAAATTCTAATTAAATTTTCTGATTAGTCCCGAAAATCGTAATTTAGACCCGTTCTCGGTCTAATATGATGTGGGACACCCTGTATTAAAAGAAATAATTATAAGATTTATTTTAACAAAAAGAAGATAAAAGGCAAAACACAGGGTCAATATTTTTAATATTTTTTTTTAGGTACAGGGTGTCCCACGAAACATGACAGTTGGTGAATAGTTAAAAATGTCTTCTTCCATAATATGTCAAGTTGTTTGTTACCACAGAGAATAATAATACATTTTTTATGGCATCCATATTACAGTAAAATTGATTTCTAAGTAAATTATCTTTGAGTAAAGTTTTTTAAAACTAAATAAACAGCAAATAGTCTTTAATATCTAATACAGCTTATGGAAGAAGACATTAAAACTTTTCACCAACTGTCATGTTTCGTAGGACACCCTGTATAAAGTAAAGTCATGTAATATATTTATCACTCTTTTTGGTATTACACAAACATTAAAATACTAAAAAGAGGAAGGTGGAAACTCACCCAAATGAAAATTTCGCTTTTTTTCGCGAAAATTTTTGTTCGCGAGAAACCCCATGAAAGTACTGTGTGCAAAGGGCGGTTAAGTTTATTTTGATAAATAGATTGAAGAATCAATAGCTGGGTATATAAACTAAACCTTCTAACAGAATTAGACTGTTCTTTATTATACAATATTTTTGGGTTAACATGTAAATTCTACTTGTTAATGATAGAAAATGATAAATGATAAGAAAATTTGATACTTTTTAAAATTCACAACTTTGCTAGACAAGCCTTTCTTGAACCAAACAAAGTAAGAATTATTTGAATACAAAACCAGAAACCTTTTAGTAGATGGTAAAATGGCTCGAAACGTTTTCGGTTTTGACCAAAAATGTTTCTAATTTACAAGTGACAAGTTAAAGCTATTGGTAAATGAAACGCTTACTCAGTCTGGCCAAGTCGGCAAAGAAAACTAATATCCAACCTATTCCTGGTTTTGGGGATATAAACTTCCTGGTTTAGGGGACATAAACTTCTTGGTTCTGGGGACATAAACTTCCTGGTTTAGGGGACATAAACTTCCTGGTTTAGGGGACATAAACTTCCTGGTTTAGGGGACATTAACTTCCTGGTTTAGGGGACATTAACTTCCTGGTTTAGGGTTAATAACATTCCTGGTTTAGGGGACATAAACTTCCTGGTTTAGGGGACATCAACTTCCTGGTTTAAGGGACATAAACTTCCTGGTTTAGGGGACATTAACTTTCTGGTTTAGGGGACATTAACTTTCTGGTTTAGGGGACATTAACTTCCTGGTTTAGGGGACATAAACTTCTTGGTTTAGGGGACATTAACTTTCTGGTTTAGGGGACATAAACTTCCTGGTTTAGGGGACATAAACTTCCTGGTTTAGGGGACATGAACTTCCTGGTTTAGGGGACATAATCTTCCTGGTTTAGAAGACATAAACTTCCTGGTTTATGGGACATAAATTTCCTGGTTTAGGGGACATAAACTTCCTGGTTTAGGGGACATTAACTTCCTGGTTTAGGGTTAGTAACCTTCCTGGTTTAGGGGACATAAACTTCCTGGTTTAGAAGACATAAACTTCCTGGTTTATGGGACATAAATCTTCCTGGTTTAGGGGACATAAACTTCCTGGTTTAGGGGACATTGACTTTCTGGTTTAGGGGACATTAACTTCCTGGTTTAGGGGACATTAACTTGGTTTAGGGGACATTTACTTCCTGGTTTAGGGGACATAAACTTTCTGGTTTAGGGGACATTAACTTCCTGGTTTAGGGGACATTAACTTCCTGGTTTAGGGTTAATAACCTTCCTGGTTTAGGGGACATCAACTCCCTGGTTTAGGGGACATTAATTTTCTGGTTTAGGGGACACTAACTTCCTGGTTTAGGGGACATTAACTTTATGGTTTAGGGGACATCAACTTCCTGGTTTAGGGGACATATAACTTGGTTTAGGGGACATCAATTTTCTGGTTTAAAAAGCACAGACACAAAATTCAAAAATATATTAAATATATTAAATTTATTCAGAAAACAAAGTTTCAAATCTAAAAACTAAACTATCAAGCTCCCTCTCATCATGATTAATAATAACAAACATGAACTTGGAAAAATTTATTTAGCAACAATGATAATAATACAATTTGAGGTATTTTTAAGTCGATTTTACGCCAAAGTTTAGCTGTAAATTACAAACTGAAATAACATGAATACTTCTAAAAACCACAAGTTACAAAAATGCATAACAAACAAAATGTTAAAATATTTTAGAACTGGTAGGCTTAAATATTAAGCAATAAAAAAACAGTTTCAAAATTAATTACTGCATCAAAAATCTCATTTAGATCGTTTTTTAAAAATCGAATTTTTCAAAGACTTATTTTCGAAAGTCGTCTTTACTCTTTAATGGGTGACCGAGAATCTGCGTAGGTTAGGCTTATCGTACATTTCCATGGAGATACGCCTGAAAAAGAAAAAAAGTTCGTTTGTTTTTGTCTTATAATTTTTAACCGCCTTTTGGCTAACATTACCGACCTATGAGGAAGGTAAAGTTACTTTACGTCCCTTGGGACAATTCAGTAAATTAACTACCCGCTCTGCGAAGTTTTCGTGAACAAATTCTCCCAATTTCATCTCAAAAGACGATAAAATTCTGTACACAGACTTTTTCGGGAAATTAAAAATTAACTTTAGTTTGGCATCCCTCGACCAATTTTGTCTACAAAACAATACTCGCTGCGCTCTGGATGTTTTGTAAGCAAAATATTGATCTTGGAAAACCCTCGGTAAAGTCAAACTCCCTTAACTCTCCTGTAAAGTAGTTGTAATTGATTAAAACACATTTGACAGTGAGACTCATAAAACTTTGAAGTAAGAAGACGACTGTTAGACTTAAGTTGTGACTTTAAATGTATAATGTACAATAAAACAAAACAAATGTGCAGTACACCATAAAATACATAAGATTGATTTAATATCGTTTTTCCATTCTACAACTAAGAGAAAAAAAATTTAATCTTTTTATTGATAGTGTTTCATTTTGAAATCTTATTTTCCCAAACTTAAAGATGAGAAGAGGGGGGGATAACAAAATAATACATAGTACAAAACTAAAGGGGGGGGAGGGGCAAATAGGTTTCTTATAGTCCAAAAATGAGAATTGGGTGTAATAAAGTCAGTAATACTTTATTACAAAAGTAAGTTTCAATACAGCGAAACCAGAAAACTTTGGAATAGGAAGACGACATTGAAGCAATAATGAAGTATAATTGATGATCAAATAGTTTTACTATAGTAACTTATTAATTCAAAGGAAATGAGTATTTGTCACAAACTTAAATTTTTAAATCCCATTATCTTTAGAACCTGATGGAGTAAACATTTGATATTTCAAACTTAGATTATTTGATCTAACAGTATACTTAGTTTGAAATAAATAAGGTCTAAGCCATTGGGTTCCAAAGATATAGGGATTGGAAAATCAGAGTTTGTGGCAAAGACTCAATTCTTTTGGTTGTGTACACTGCACAAATACTGTGTTTTATGTTAAAGTTATAACTTAAGTCTATAAGTTCATTCCAGAGTCTTATTTATGTTTATTACTGTAGTAATATCACCTTTGCATCCTGGGAGAGTTCTCCTCAGTGCTTGAGACTGACCCAGCTTTGGACACTTTCCTCTTAGCTGTAGCCATCATACCCAACCCCTGCAAAATATGCAATCTAAAGGGAATGTAAGAGTAATTTCAAGTGGCCCTCCATGCAAAGATGACACTGTCCTATTTACAATGGTACCCTTAAACCTTAATCTGATAAAAAATGTGGAAGATATTGTCGTTTTTCTGACACGAATAGTTTTTATTTCTGCGAGTTTCAACATTGCTTCAAATTTAGATTAATTCTTTGATATGATTTTAAACGTGCATTCATTGTACACTGTACACACTACACAGGCATAAAAAAATAAACAAAGCCATTTATTATTCAACAGTAAACAGACATAAACATTTAAATAGACAGTAAACAGACATAAACATTTAAATATATAGTAAACAGACATAAACATTTAAATAGACAGTAAACAGACATAGACATTTAGATAGAGAGTAAACAGACATTGAAATTAAGATAAACAGTAAACAGACATAGACATTTAAATAAACAGTAAACAGACATAGACATTTAGATAGAGAGTAAACAGACATTGAAATTAAGATAAACAGTAAACAGTCATAGACATTTAGATAAACAGTAAACAGACATAGAAATTTAGATAGAAAGTAAACAGACATAGACATTTAGATAGACAGTAAACAGACAGAGACATTTAAATAGAGAGTTAACAGACATAGACATTTAGATAGACAGTAAACAGACATAGACATTTAGATAAACAGTAAAAAAAATAGATATTAAGATAGTCAGTAAACAGACATAGACATTTAAATAGACAGTAAACAGACGTATACATTTAATTAAACATAAAACAGACAAAGAAATTTAGATAGACAGCAAACAGACATAGAAAATGAGAAAAGCACATAAACATTTGAATTAGAAAGCACGCCCCCACCCTGTGAGACTAAATTTAAGATGAAATAAGTGTTGTTATTTTTACTACAACAACTTCAAGTTACGGGACTACTTGTTCCTGTTAAATTAACCCTGTTATAACCCTGTAAGCCTGTACTACCTTGATAATGGAGGCTTTCCCCGGCTTAACCCTAGCAATAATCTCGTCAGCGTCAGCTAGTACACCAGATAGTCCACCACTCACAAGGAGCAGATCAAAACTAATCAATAAAATAATCATAAAGACGACATTTTTATACTTTTGATCCATAATAATATAAGAGAAATCTTTTTTATTTAACTTTTTTTAATTTGTTAAATAAATGGAAATTTTAAACAAAATGCTACCTGACACGGTCCATCAGTTCCTCTAGCATAGAGTTTCTTCGAGTGTACACTTCACTATACTTTCGCATATTTCTTAAAACAATAATGAAATATTATTTGAACCCAGGTGCTATGTACTATAGGACACTTCGAGCTGGGGAAAAGAAAGACGACTTTTATTATTATCCAATAACCATGAAACACGGCAATTGTGCAGCGTACACAGACCCTTTCATTTAATAATTTAACGTTGAAACTGTTTGCTTTGACAACATCAAATTCACATAATTTCTCAAAAGACGTTTTCCTCTTCCACAATTTTATGGTTCCCACTGTACCATTTATAATGATTTTGATATTTTACTCACTGTTTATTGAGCTGACCCTCCTCCGGCGTTACATTGTTCCCATCTACCAGTCCAATAGTTTCCTAATTCAAATATTTATCAAAATATCCACATATGTCGTCGTTATCTTTAGAAATTCAAATTGGCGGGAATATTTAGAAATTTAAAATGGCGGAAAATACCAAGATGGACTCCAGGTAGGATGTTGAGGGAGCAGATGCTGTTCCATTGATCATGATCACACCTTCCGTCCTTGTTGGGTGGCACATTCCAAACCTTAACATAAAAAAGTATTATATAAATTTTTAGCTTTAAAAAAAACTGACATGCATACAAAAATATTGCCCTTTTTTATTTTACAATAAATATGATTGTTACAAGAGTTGTTTTAATATAGTTCAATTCATGATTTAATAAAACCAAACCTCATAAGGTTTCATAAAAATATGGACTTGAGATTCATCATCTAAACTTAAGCTGGTGTCAAGAAACCGGTTTAAATCCTGTTCTCCGTGTATACCTGAGAGCAATATAGGCTCCAGCTCCATCTCCGAGCAGAACAATACTCTTAATACGTAGTTCATCCAGAACAGTTACCAGGCTCATACCAATATCCTAACAGATAACAAGTGGTTCAAGACTCTTCACTTTAAGGGTTGAAAGCCCGGTTCACATCGGTTCCCTTGAAGCCCAGCCTTAGATGGTCAATAGTGTGGAAGAAATCGTCGTTTTTCGGTTTTCTTGCTTCCAAGGTGTTTAATTCTGATAATTTCTCCATTTCTTCGGACGCAGAAATGCGTAAGCCACATTTGTAGAGAAATTAGGAAGCTGGAAACTTTTGAAAACACTAAATTGATTTGAATCATGTCATATGATTTAACTTAGATCTCTTCTAACTTACAGACGACTTACAGACTGGGGATGAAAATTAGTGAGAAGTGGAAGTTTTTCAGTGTTATAGAAAGAAAACAATTGAGAGTTGACAAAGCAAGGCTTTGACCCCCTCCCCGGCCCTGGTTGACCCTTTGTAAAAAAGATGACCGGCCACTGACCTGGAGTGAGGGGAAGTTGACCGTTAGTTCTTCAGCCTCGGGGGATTGTCCAAACAAGGATACATGGAGGAACATACACCTAGAAATTTTACAATTTTGGATCATAGCTTTACAAAATAATTATTTACAGAGTAGTCAACATATATATCAATACAGCTTCGGCCTTACTGACATGGTGATGTAATATAATTTCTACTATATATATATATATATAAGAAAGAGTGATCAGTATGTGTATATATATATATATATATATATATATATGTATATACTGATCACTCTTTCTTATGTAGCATCTCCGTGCCAGATTCGCCAGATACTGTGTTGAAATATATGTCAGACTCTGTAATATATATCACAATTTCAGCAAACAATTTTATAAACAAGTAATCTCTGTTTGTTTGTTTGGGTGTTTGGTTGTATGTTTGAGCATAGCAGTTGGGCCTGAGAGTCGAATGAGTACATTGACATAAATGTCCCAGACAATGATATACCTGTTCTTGACCTCGAGCATCTCCGGGTGGTTGATGAAGTCCACCATGGACCTGTAGGAGGAACCAACATTGTGAATAGTCATGATAACAGGACCATATCTTTGCTTCTCAAGATCTCCCTGCATTTATAGCAATCATATTACAGTGGTCACCAAAATAAATGATATCTCAATGTCGACTATTGGACCATAATTGTCACTTTGAAGAAAATATTTTTTCTTAAAAATTTCATTTGAGATATTTACTATAAATATAATATGTTTTTCTTTTTTGTAAAGTCTGTCATTTTTTGTTAATGATAATTTTTTTAAATTAATATTATTATGTAAAAAATTTAACAAAATTTATTTGACCTAAAACTACTAATCTAATTGCCCTGAGCTGAAAAATGAGATTCCAATGTATCCAATGTCCAAAATGAAGACGACTTTTGAACCAACCAAACTTGTATCCCACTATGCAATCTACATAATGCTAACATTTACCTGAAGATACACTGAGATTGGAGGACAGTTCTCCAGCTCGAAAATATACCTAAGTTAAAAATGGAATTACCTTGTTTACATTTAAAAATTTGCTCGTGTTAATCTTGAAAATAAATTGGAAAAGAAATTACTTGAAGAAATAGTGTATTAATATTGATAGTAATATGTTTGCATTTTCTTTTCCAAAATAAATATTAAAATCTTTTTATAGTTTTTCATTACATCCCTGTCCAGCTACAGGTTTATTATTATTCATTACATCCCTGTCCAACTACAGATTTATTATTATTTATTATATCCCTGCTCGGCTACAGGTTTATTATTATGTATTATATACCTGTCCAGCTGTAGGTTTATTATTCATTATACCCCTGCCCGGCTTAAAGCTGTTACCTGGATACACCGGTCAAATCAGTCTCAGAGCAGTGCTTGATCAGCTCAATGTTCTCAGTTTTGTGCTCCTCGGCCATTTTATAAAAAAAGATATTCTGAAGTTTTCAATCAATCACAAATCCAAGAACAAAATCTTTTTGGATGGAGACTCAATTATGATCACGAATTTTTCCAGGGGGGCTTTAATTTTTGTTCTTTTTATGGGGGACGGGTCAGCATTCATGGGGAAAAAATGGAAACCATGGATTTTAATGATCTAAGAGGGCTGAGCCCCCACAGCAACCCCCCCCCCCATAACTGAATACCCCTTTTGCTATGATAAACCTGTGTTATGTTCAAATGTATCTTTTTTTAATGGAGATTATTTGCAATGCACATTAAAGGGATACCTTCCTTGTAACATGATTTTTCACACAAAAATTCGTCTTCACCTGATGTTAAAAACTTTTCATAAAAATAGATCTCTACTTAACTTTCTGAAAGAACATAAAAAAATAGGGTTTTTATAAGAATCACACTGTTGCATGGCAACAGAGGGTTGTCACTTTAAATGTTATCGATAGAGTTTAGGGAATAATCATCACACACAATTATAGTTATTTAGACTCGAAAATTTCGCAAATTCGTAATGGTTATTTAACAATTTTATTTCCATTTAACATTTGCAGAATTGCATAAAAATTAGTCTTCTTCTGGAAACTTTTACAAATCGTAAGAAGACGAAAATTTCAATTTGGTGAATTAAAACTAAAATAAAGGGTCTAGAGTTGATATTTGTAATATTATCTATGATAAATATAATCTAGTAAACAATATAGTTCTTTAAAAAAATTATAATTATCAATTGCTTTCCCGACAAATGTTTAAAAGTAATTATCACTGTATATTTCTAGCAATTTACTGTTAAAATAAAAGAAATATGAATTTAATAAATGTATACTGTCATCTTTATTTGTGTCTTTCAGTATATGTTTTAGATTTACTGTAATATGATATTGTTTGAGGTATTTTGTAAAACTGAGAAAATTATGTTGGATCAATTTTTTTAGGGTGTTTTTAATGTAATTGTTTTGAATAATATTGTTTTGTACATATTTTATGTTGAAAAAACTATTTGGAACATGCTTTTCATTTGATAAATCTGCCCGTGTTCTACACTTTTAAATTCTTTAATGTAAATGTAAAAAAAATATAATGCAAAATTATTCTAGTTAATGTGTTAAATTGGTTAATTCCTAATAAAAATAACCCTTAAAGGGTCATGTGAAATTAAGTTAAAGTGAAACTTTCCAACTTTAGAGTGGTTGTCCAGTTTTCAACGGTACCCTTAAAACCTTCGAGAATGATCAAGATATCCTTATTTCACTTCATCAAAATTGATTAGTTTCAAGTTTGGTTTCTAGAAGTAGATATCTGACTCAGTGTCACTCATCAGACACAGGTCAAAAGGTACCCTATAGAAGTTGTAAATTGGATATGACATTTTTTTAAAAAAGTACTTTTGCATTCCAATTAAAGGGGCTGTGGAAGTACTTTTGAGTGACTCTCCATTCTTTGAGTGCCATATCAGATTCACAACGGTACTCTTTAAAGCCTTGTCTGATGAAGCATGGATGAGATTTTAATGGTTTCTGTTTTGTAAATTGCCTATTTTCTATTGTGGTTCTATACAAATGTGAATTGTGGATTTCTTGCTATAACAGAAACATGGAAAAATGTAAGAATCAACAGAATTTCCAGATATAAACGAGGAAATCTTCCATATTATCGATCAGATGAATATGTTAAGATACTCCGGTTAAGGGCCATTGGAGTATAAAACGTAATTGTTTATACAGGCTTACTCACACAGGATGAGACTCCAACTTTTTAAATTCAACAATCTGCATAGAAAGAAACCATAAATGCAAAAACAAAGACTCAATAAATTCTGTACAGTCGTCACTGTCAGAATCATATACAGGGTTACCCACAAAGGATGAGAATCAAAGACGATTGTTCGGAATTTGCTTAGTACGTTTTCTTGTATTAAGGGTTTCTTGTTATAGACCAAAACTGGATTATGTGCTTAATCATTAAATATGAAGCCATCAAAATACTCAATTGAAAGCAAAAACTAAGACTTAAACTTTGTAACGTCATATTTTTAAAGTTTGTGGGTAACCCTGTATATAACAATTTCTAAAACTGCGTACTTCACATTTTGCGTCAAAACACGAAGTGATATGAACGTCCGTGTGTAGATAATGACGCAAATAACCACTATTGGTTCAATACTCTGAACGCATTGATCAACCCTATAGTAATGTAGAAATACTACTGCGTCTATATTATTTCCTAACAAACCCCTCCCTCTAACTACCTCACCCCCCCCCCCTCCTGCCTCCCTTTCATCCCCTTGCGTGGTTTATACACCCTAGCCTTCGCATTCATATATCCAATAGGGTTAAACCGAAATGTAAATTATTTCGATTTATACCAACATTTCTGAATCATTTTAGGAACTTCAAGGAATTTACTCTGTTTGGTGGAATACCATGCCTTACTTTTTGACGTTTCGGATCAATCCTAATTAACCCTAACATGCATTTCCTACAAGTGCCAATCCTTTTTTAAAAATAAATCTTAAATGTTTAAACTTTATATTAATTACAAAACTTAACTAGAGAAAATAACTAATGTTTTTTCAGTTAACCCTAATTCAGGTTTCTACGTTTCTCTGAAATCCTTATCTCTTAACCCTACCCCCCCCCCCCCTTGGCCCGAATTTCTCTTCACTTCACAGCCCACATGTAGAATTTAACCCTAAGATGCAGGTCAATGAACTGCCTAAACTCTCCAACTCTTGAAAACATTTAACGTATATAGTCTCATTAATCATGACAATTGTAATAAATGCAAACAGACATTTAACAAAGTTTTTGCTAAATGGGGCTTCTATACTTATATTGATTTTTAAAATAAACCCTCCTTTAAAAGGGAAAAAGTCTGAAACTTGAAAAAGTTAAGTTTTAATAAACAAAATTGAATTTTTTTCTTCCAATTTTTCAAACTCACGAAAATATTTACATCTTTGTGTGGATTAATATGCAATTTAGGTTTTTGAATTATGTCTGCATGATGGGATCAAAATACCAAAATTAAAGTCAAAATTAAAGCATCTGTAAGAAAATCTTTAAAAATTTTGCTCAAAGGACTGTTTCATTTTCATTAAACTTTAATGTCAAAATAGAATAAACATGTCTTCAATCTTTATTCTCAAAAAAAATATTTAGCATACGTCACATGGGAGAGTAGCAAAAAACTACTAAAATTAAAACAGATTTTTTACACAAATGGTATTATATTAAACCCCTTTTCTGAGCAAAAATAAGGAATAAGATTTACTAAGGATGTGTTTAATTCTGATAATTTCTAGCTTCGCCTGGGGTATCATGTACGAATACTCAATTGTTGCTATTGCACTCCTGGATGCCGAGTCCATTAGCGCCGGATCCAATCAGGGTTCAGTCATGTGTTTGTTGTCTATTCTGAACCAATAGAAATAGTATTGCGGTAACATCTATCTTTCTATCTAACTCATTATCCAACAGAGTTATGATTCCTATCAGTGAATGGAAATATTTACTTCTTCTTAATGTATAGTGGATGAAGAATCAACTATTGTAAATCATCAATTTTCAGATAGATGAACACGTGAATCATTTGTGCTCGCACAAAGGGTTACCTGGGATATGCTTGTGAATCAGACAAGACCTCTTTTAAAAACTAAAAACTAAGGATGGGTAAAGCTCCGTTAACGAAACAGAGGTTTTTGAAATTAACGAAAGAGTCCGTTAACCAGCAGAAATAATCGTTAAAGGGAGTGACCGGCAATGTATATGGTGGTTGAACTGAGAATGTAGTATTGTGGAGAAATTTTGTTGGATTCATTTGAGACATAAAAAACGTTTTAATGATGTATAATTACTGAGTTTGAGCCAAAGTCAATGTCCAAAATCATACATTTAGGTGGTTGCGTTTTGAGAATCAATTTTTTTAAATTATCAAAAACGACGACAAAAAATGTAAAAAAAAAGGCTACAGTAAACTATTTAGAAGTTAAGGAATTCATATTTCTCAATTGATATTTGATCAAAAAATCAATATTTATGAATCAATTATTTCTTTTTCATAAATATATCAAATTTCTTATTCTTCATGAATACTTCTTTGTATAGTTGCAAATTTGTCATTCAACTTGACGTTACCAAAACTCGACGCCCGTTAAAATTCCCTCTGCTCAATAGTTTCTCAACCTCTTTATTCAGTTGGACCCAAACGTGGTTGAACACAGAAGGTAGAGGTTTATAAACAAATTTACGAAATTTTATTTAGATTCCCTGGAAATCATAATGAAAAGACGACATTTGAAGAAATATATTTAATTATGAACTTTTAAACTTAGCTAAGAATAACTCCATGGTTCTCGAGTTCCACAATCAAAATTTAAGACAAATCGGTTCCCGAGTTATGATCGGACAAACAAACCAACAAACAGAGATTACTACTTTATATGTAAAGATATAAGGCGAGCTACGACACTTTAGGTCGTCAATAAAGTCTTCTTACGTGGATTACCTTGTATTTGTTTCTTGGCTAATTTAACCAAAATTTCCCTAACCTACAGGGTGTCCCAAGAAACATGACAGTTAAGAGACGACTTTAAGGTCGTCTGTGATCTAAAATAATTTGCCGCATTCATAAACCAATTTTAGAAGTAGAATTCTTGAATTCTAGCCTTTGCATTCAGAATGTGCTTACAAAATTACCGGAAATATGAATTATTTAGACAAATATCTATGATCAAAGACGATATTCAAGTAGTCTCTTAACAGTTTCGTGGGACACACTGTACACTGGACAAAATGCATGGTCCCCTCCAGGTATAATTACACTGTAGAGTTCCAAGCTGATATTTTTTTTTCCATAAAGTCAGATTTGCATAAGACAGAAGGGTTGAAAAATTGCATTGTGAACTTTATTAATATTTAAAGCTTGCCAGTTTATCTATATGCCTTGAAAAGAACAGTAATTCAAAAAATAAAATTAACCAACATTTTAAGAAGATAAGCTATACATTTGCAATGCCTAGGATCCGATTTTGGGTTTTCTTGCATCCATAGCATTTTGAATTCCAGAATGCATGCAAATTTTTCATTCAGCCTTGTACATTTTTATAAAATGATTCAATCTTTTAAATATTTTGATTTGTCCCGAATATCGTAATTTAGAGTTATGAACGATCTCATATAATATTAGACACCCTGTAGTTAATTCTGACAATTTCCTATTGTATCTGCTGCATAAATTCCACAGTAGTAATATAATATTATATAGATAGAAAAACAAATATATCTCGTTTAACGGAGGGTCACATGAATTGACGATAACAATAGAAAATGCCAGTGCTTAGGATCCATTTAATTTGATGCGGATCCGTACTGGAATAAAATGAATCCAGATCCAGTATATTTCTATACTGAATTTTTCTAACAAAATTTTTTTTTGGCTTATTTTTATTAAAACTTTAACTATTTAGAAATCAGGAAATTTTTATAATCTATCTTTTTTCAATAGCTAAGATTTGAGGTTTTAGAGTAAATATATTTTTTTTTCAGTTTTTGTTGATATTTTGCCCCTTGGATCTGGATCCGTAAATCCGCGTATTTTTGCGGATCCGGATCCAGGACGCCAAAATTTTGCGGATCCGGATATTAAGCACTGAAAAATACTAACATTCGGCAGGGGTGTATAATTTCCTAAGAACTCATTTCCTACCCCCTATTTCAGATATCATTCATCTCCCTGAAGTATATTTTAGGGTTGTATTCGTTGAATTTTGGACACTCATTAAATTTTAGGGTATAATAAAAATTAAAAAAATAAAAAAATAAAAACTAATAAGTATTAAAAAGGATAAAAAAACTTGCCGCATATTAAAGTCCAATTTTTCATTACCCCTCAGATCTTCAAAAAATCTTTAANTTTATGTACTTATTTGAATCACTGGGGTTTATTTTAACTAGTATAGCTTGTAATTAAAACAAAACTAACGGTTCATAAAATTTAAAACATATTAATTGAAAAATGTTTATGTTTGCATCAATGTCCGGGTCACCGTGTGGGGTTGAATGAATCTTTATGTGAGTCTTTAGGTTAAGATGACGTCATGCTAAAAATGCACAATTTTTTTTGCCAACATCTGACAATTCACTCTTTCTTTGATAAACAGAAGGTCTGTTTTAGAGGTCTTTCATCCGTTTTAGGGTCTTTATTTAGCTTCATTCACTGATGGTCTTTCAAAATCACTTTTCGTTCACTTTGTCTGATACGAGAAGAAACAATAGGTATTAGTAAATAAAAGACAAAGTGTTGGTTACATCCAGAAATAATATTATTAATTAGCACACAGTTAAATAATTAGATCAAGCTGAAAATCCCCGAAAAATTTGCAAAAATGCGCAAAAATTTGCCAAGCTTAAGACATCCCTCGTCTCCAGAGAACTTTTCAAATTGTTTAAAAAAGATAAAATCGAAAAAATAGATTGAAAATATCCCAAATAGAAAGGATAAATCAGGACTTGCAATAAAGTGTTTAAATAAGAATTTAAGAATAAATCAAGGTGAAAATCACATTGCTGATTAAATTTTAAATTTCACCTGATTTAAACCCCTGGAAAAAAAACCCACAGCAAATTGAGAACTTTTTAGAATGGAGTCCCCTAATAAACTTCCCGAAAGGTCAAATCACATCCGATACTTTTTTGAAGACTAAATGAATTTTGAAACAATTATTAGTAATTTGTTTGAAAGTTAAATGTTAAAATAGACTTGGGATTTCGACGTTAGCTACGGAAGTTTAATTTCATCCGATTCGATAGCATTTCTTCCGTATTTCTCCGGTTTCGGAACTACTTCTTCCGTTCAAGTTTAGGATCTCCTCGATCATCGCGACCATCGTCCCGACGTTCACGACCGTCGTCACGTCGCTCTCGATGATCGTCTCTTCGATCACGACCGTCATCACGTCGTCCATCGTCTCTATCTCGACGACCGCCATCTCTGTGCGGACGTCCTGAACCATCGTCTCGGCGGCCATCGTCTCTGTCTCCTCGTTTATCACTCCGGCGATCACCATTCTGCAACAAAATTTTACAATGATCAAAATGATCCAATCCTTAATTTAAGCAGTGCTTTAGATCCATCCTGACTGTCTTGCTAAAAAACGATGGATCCCTATAATTTAAAAAAAGATACCATTGCACGGTACATTCCAGTTCCATTCATGTACCTGGCCGAATTTGAACTAGCCAGGGCAAGCAGCACGGTACAAATGCAGACTATTAAGGCAAAACAGGTGTGTACGCCAAATGAATGATCCCCTTCTAGAGTTTATGTGATTGTGAAAGGTTTGAACGATTTTTTAATAGCTACAATTGCTATTTTTAATCACAAATATTTGCAGAGCACAAAAAAATTTATTATTCATTTTTAACGGTTAAATACGGGGAAAATACATTAAAATTTTAATTGGAAAACAAATTAATTTCGGAAAGAAGTATCCCAAACCTGAAACGCCAGTTGACAAATTCCAATAATTCATCATGTCATCTCACTCCTCCAATGCAGGGCAGAGGGGGGGGGGGGACGAGGAAAAATTTGAAATCCAATTGGCTTGAAAAAAATAATTTTTACAATTTTTACCGAAAAATTTATTCATTATTCCTTGAGTAACGTTACTTTCTGATTCTGAAACATTTTTTTTTACCACAGGGAATTATCTTACATTTCTTAATTTAAATTAAATTATTTCAGAACCATTCCACTGGGGGGAATGGTTTTTAATGCTGTGGGGAAAATTTTAACATCAAAAGGCAGTTTTTCATCCCTATTAATTCTTCATGCCACAAGATTAATTTTTGCCAAATTAAACCCCTCAAATATTTTATACCGATTGCCCGGAACAAACCTAGAACTTCGGCAATCTTTTTTTTTCAGAATAAGAGAGATTTTTTAAAAGAAAATAAATACCCCGGTTACCTGTGGAGGTTGCCTCCTACCCTCATCCTCCTCCTGTCTCTTCTCATAATGAATAAAGTCGTCAAATATACTTGTCGTGTGTTTAAACCCATGAAGGATTTTTAACACCTGCTTTCCCTTGTCTATAGGAACTTCCTAAAAATATTTTTAAAAATTAATAATATCATTGAAATATGATCAAATAAATCATTTGATATAATCAGGTACAGTAAAGTGTCATTGTTAGTAATTATTTACAACTTTTTACATAACAGTTAAGCGAATTTCGCTTTAACAAGGGTTCCAAAGAACAATTTTGCCTACAAAACATCTGGAGCGCAATGTGGAATTTTAAGTTCTGTCCGCAAGATCGGTCTAAGGAACTAGTAAAATAAACTTTTTATCTTCCCGAAAAAGTGAGATGAAAACGCGCGATTTTTATTTTCGTTATTTTACTGTAAACTAACGCCCCTCTGGAAGGATTTATAGGTCGGTATTGTTGTTCAAAAGGCGGTAAAAATTATGATTAATTTTAACTTTGAATTTCTTAAATTTCTATAAAAAAAGGTTTGTTGTCAAAAACAAACTTTTCCAATTTCTTGCCGTGGATTGATTTCAAAACTTTTTTCCCCCTATCCTAACATTGATGATGGAGGCTTTGCAAGAAGAGGGGGGGGGAGGAGGAGGGGGGGAATATTAAACATTTATTTGCAAGGTGTGTCAAGCTTTCCAGAAAATTGTTTCTATAAAATTCATCTATCTTCATAAATTCAGCGAGCAATAAAACAGTTTTCAAGAAAAAAAACGATTTTTTAAGAAAGCATTTCAAAGTGTATAAGAAAATGTGCTAAAACGAAATTCTTGAGTTGTCACTCATGAGAAATTCACAAACTAACAACTTTCTAAGCTTTTCAAAATCATGAATGATGGATTATCATTTTAAAAAGCAAAAAATAAAAATAAAGTTGCAGCATAAATTATAGCGTAACAGAAATTTTTTACTTAAATTTCTTTTTGTTAAGAAACAAGTAAATTATCGTTCCTAGGGAGGACTCCAATCAACATGTTACTGCTGTCTGATTCTTGGTAATATTTACTTATTCATTAATCTTTAATTTTAATTTGGTGAAAAAAATTTCTTCTTGAAAATTAAGAACCAATGCTTAGGATCCATTTAATTTTGATGCGGATCCGGCTCCTGGATCTGCACTGGAAAAAAATGGATCCATTTTTTTTGATTTACTGATTTCTTTAACAGAATAATTTTCTAATTATTTTAAAATTATTTTTACTTATTTTTGAGCAACAACTTGATGAACCATTCAGAGATCAGGGCATTTTGAAAAATCTCTCTTTCAACAATTCAGATTAGAATTTTAAAGCAAAAGATTTTTTTGGCTGATATTGAATGATTCGATCGATTCATGCAGTTTTTGATTGACATTTTGCCTCTTGGATCCGGATCCGTGGATCCGCATATTTTTGCGGATCCGGATCCAGGAAACCAAAATATTGCGGATGCAAAGGATCAAGATCCTAAGCACTGTTACATTATTAAAAACCCAAAATATTAAACCTGTGTATCTCTGCTATTAGTTACAGGCTTATTCTCATTGTTCTCCAACCGTATGTGTCGTAGCTGTGCATTAGGAACATCTTTCACATATATCCATTTCACTTTAAATTGTCCTAAAACAGAAGAGGTTTGTTTAAGGTTTACTAAATTTATGGATCACAGCCATAATAAATAATAATGATGGAGTTTGTAGTTATTACATATGTTTTACATTTTTCCGTGAAAATTAGACCAGAACTGAAAGTTGCGAATTTTCTAACTACAATTTTGCAAATTTTCTGAGATTCTGTGATTCAATCTTTTTACAATTTTAGATTTCGATAGAAAAGATTTATTTACACATTTTTGTTTTTCTGAACTTTTGATTTTGAGAGAAAAAACAGTTCGCGGATTTTTTATTGGACCATTGAAGCACCAAAAAAACTACAAAAAAAATTGAAAAAACACCATACATGGAGAGTTGCACAAAAAAGGTACTATTTTGCACCAGGCGCCGCAAATCAATTTTTTTTACTCACCCTGTATACGTAGATAAACCCATGTACATCCATAAATTTCTATTTTTATCCTAGTAAACTTATACTAGGTGACTTGACAAAATAAACGGTCAATCATAACAACATTGTTATCATGGCAGTACTAATTAAAGCACCCCCCCCGTTCTTACTTTCGACGGTTTTCCTAATTGTGCCATTTTGTATTGAAAGTTTTCCCACCCTTAACAGCTCAAATCATCAAAAAAATAAGAGAAAAATTTATTTTTTCCGAATAATGGTAATATATTAACTTATTAAGAGTTGGGCTTCATGCAACAAATATCAAAACTCACCTTTCCACTTATCTTGCGCCCAAACTCCGGCCGACGAATTATAGTCCACACCGCTCAACATTTCGGCCATCCCACAAAAATGTCCTGATCCATTCACAGAGAAAAAGAGATAAACATTTCCTTTCCCCTCTCTTTCCCTGAAAGCAGAGTCAAGGCGTTTATTTCCGTGTTCTGTGCTGCACCAAATCTCGTATTTAATACTCCTATGAATATCGTCTTCAGAGTAAGATTTCACAACGAAAAAGCGCGAGTTTCGTGGATTTAGATCAAAATCCCGCGGATTATAATCGTTGACCGATTTCAGTTCATCCAGAACCGGATGGGAGGGCGGCGGCGGTCCAGCCATCGTCACATGATTGAGTCCATTACCCATGACAGGTGCGGGAGCGCCGGTAGGGGGTCTACCGCCGCGAGGACCGGCTACACCGGCCCATCCGCCACGCTGTCCGCCTGGCCCCACGGTGGGGCCCAAAGGCGGAGGAATATTCATAAGCGGATGTGGACCTCCATTTTGTTTACTTGCATCCCAAGTGCCAATGTCCAGGTTAGGTTTACCAGGAAGTACGGGGGGCATTAAAACACCGGGTTTCTTACTTTTTCCCGCGGGCGGAGCAGGTTTTGCAGGTTGGCTTGCTACACTTGCCCATGACATTTTTTTCGCCTGGCCTCCGCCTCCACTACCCGCCGAGCCGTTAGATTCTCCGCCTTGGTTCACAGGTTCAGAAGGTTCGTGTCCTTGTTTAGGTTCCTTGGTTTCTATTTGATGAGTTCCACTTAGGTTTAAACCTAGCATACTCTGCTCAGCTGTAGGAACACGTCCCCGTCCATCTTGGGCCTGGAATAATTAATTATTTGTTAATACATTGTTCACGAAGGTTTAAGTGATCCTGATGAGAAATTAAATTCAACCCTTTAGGCTATACACATCCTTACTCCGTTCTCATTTCTTATCCGGGCTTTAAATCGTAAGTTTTAAGTCAATTTAGAGGTTTCTAAGCACGTTCGAGAGGCAAACTGTCAAAAGATTAGTTTAAGTCTTATTTAAGAACTATTGTAGAACATTAATCATTCTGCAAGGGCCCTACACGACTACTTCCCATTGCTCTAGATAAAAGAAAAAGGTTTCCTGTGATAACTGATATCATTCAGAACAATATTAGACTGAAAGGTAGTTGTGGTGCAAAATTTCTATATTTTCCTGCAAAATGGGCCACCCTAATAAATAAGAGTGATTTAAAAAAAGAAAATATTAGTGGCAAAAAAAGCTTTCAGAAATCATTAATTTCTTATTAATAATCAATTTAATTTATTTAGAACTAATTTCTGGAGGGCCTAGGAGACTTTTTGAAGTTTTTTTTTATCAATTTCAAAATTGAATTATGTGAAAGGGGATGGCAGAGATGTCATATTTGACGNGCGTTCATTTTTGGTTCAAATCTTCCAATTTTTTGGCTACACACTTAATTAGTGTTCGAATTTCCTAAAATAAAATTTGAAACCAATGACTTCAAATGACACTATCAAACTATATTTGTTGTTGAATTTGTATTCCCTGGGTTCCTAGCTTTCGTTAGATATGCATAAAGCCATAGTTAAAACATTTTCATTTTGGAGGTCATTATAGGTCGTTAGAAGCAGTGCTTAGGATCCATTTAATTTTGATGCGGATCCGGATCCAGATCCTGGATCCGCTTTCCAAAAAAATGGATTCGGATCCGGATCCGGATCCAGGTCATTGATCAAAAAAAAATTGATTTTAGTTCAAATATCTTTTCATACCTAAAAAAAATGTAAACATTTTAACATTATTTTATACTATTTTTACTTTATTGGATGAAAAAACAGGTCTAATTCATATTAGCTTTTAGTAGAAGGAGGGCGTTTGGAATATCTGCCTTCAGACAACTCCTTAGGTCTGATTTGAATATCTTCAGGGCAGAGAACAGTCTCTTTATAGTGGGAACACAAGATGTTCCTTAGCATCTGTATCTTTTTAGCATATGTGCGCCCCCTCCCTTCTCCCCCTCACTCTTTACACATCCTTACACCTTAATTTGTGAAGGCTGAATTTGCTTAGTTGCAATGGGGAAAATGGAGACTTCTCCCCCCCCCCTCTCTAGTTATTAAAGGGGGGGGGGGGTGCACGGTGGATGTCTGAGTTAAGATTTGAGCAAGATAGAAACCTGAGACCCTGAGAATATTTTTAAAATCTGTTAAACAATTCAAAATAAGATATTTTTAAGGAAAAATAACGCTGTTTTGAACATTTTAAAAAATAAAATTGTGCTTGGATCCGGATCCGGATAGCCAAAATAATGCGGATCCGGATCCTAAGCACTGGTTAGAGGTCAGGTCATTAGAAGGTCAAAAACTGGATTCGTTACTGAAAATGTATTCCATGGGTTCCTAGCTTTCGTTTGATATGCATATAGCAATACCTGAAACATTTTCTATTTGTCAAGGTTATTAAAGGCCATCAGAGGTCATAAGTGTCGAATTTCGAAGACAAATTAGGCGTGCGGCCAAAAAATTGGAAGATTTGAACCAACAAATGAAGACAGGGACCACCCCGCCATCCCCTTTTGCAATATTTTTATCTTAACAAAAAATTTGATAAAAACGACAGTTATGTTCTTTTTTGGGTCATTTTTTGCATATATCTTCTGCCAGGGTCAAAATTTGGCATGCTGTATGAAAGAAAATATTTAGAATTAACAAATTTGAAAGCATTTGCATTCTTCATGGTTCTTGGGTCTGAAATAAAATATAAAACGACTTAAAGGGACTGTTAAGGAAAAATGGAAGGGGGTACAGACAGTAACCTAAACACTTAAGGAGTTGATCGAGACCTATATGAGTTCTATCTGTTGTTCCTGTCTCGAGAAATTGATACAAAACTGTAACAACATTATTCCAAAACTGATATTTATTTAATAAACTCCTAGTTTAGGTTTCAGCCTATACCCCCTTTTATTTTTCCTTATTAGTCCCTTATCAAGCGAAACAACTGAAAGCAAATGATAATTGGCACCTGATGGTATTGCTCTGGACGATAGTACTGTTCTCCTGTCCTCCCCGCAGCGGCGGCCGCCGCCGATCCCCACTGAGAGTATCCGGCGGAGCCAGCGTGGAAATCAAATCCGTATCCTGAATTAAATAAATAGACCAAAAAGAAGAAGAAACAGAAGCAGTGCTTAGGATACGGATACGTTGAATTCCGCAAGATTTTGGATTCCTGGATCCGGATATCAAAATATTATAATCAATATCAAAATATCAACCAAAAAATGTAACAAAATAACCTTTTTTCTCTCAAAACCCAAATCTGAACTGTTAAAAAAAATTTCCTGATCTCTGAATGGTCCATCAAGTCTTAGCATAAGCATAAGCGAAAAAAATATGAAAGATACTTTGACAATTCTGCTTTGTTAAAAAAATCAGCAAATCCTAAAGAAATGTTCAGATTCATTTTTTTCCAGTGCGGATCCTGGATCCGGATCCGCATCAAAATTAAATGGATCCCAAGCACTGGACAGGGGTCTATATTTTTAAAAACAGAATTAGCCCCCCCCCCCGGCCTGGAATTTTATGCTTTGGGGAAAAAAGAACAAATGAAAAAGGAAGTGTTTTTACCCTTTGATACTTATTACCCAAAACTAAATTTTTCCCAATTAATACCCACCGCCCCTTAAGAACAGTACCTAAATTGCGGAGAAAAGTAAAGGAAGGGGGGGGGGAATATATGAAAAAATATTCACCCCGGATTCGCTTACTTTAGAGTGTATGAATTAAGGTATTTACATTTCTTTACATTTCTTAACAAATTAATTGATCCTCCGAACCCCCTTCTTACCATATTATTTTCTCCATAATTTGAGAGACATCTGCACAAAGATTTTAAACGCAATATGTCCGTCTTGGGACATTTCATAAATGAAAATGTCGTGAAAGATAATGATATTGAATATTATGAGCTTTTTTTCATAGCAAGATCGAGACAAATTTATGATTTTTGGATAAGTATAAAAAATTAGGGAAAACTTGCCAACTTATCATAATTTTGCACCCTCCCCCCCTCCTTCTCCTAACTTTGATAATCATTCACTAAAATATATACCAGTGAACCCACATCCTTAAGTACTGAATAGGACATCGTAGAAATGTTAAGATGTATTTACCCAAAAGTGGTCTTTATCGTTTTATGTACAATCTGGGTTGGTTCAACCTTACACCAACTATAAAATATAAACCCCTTCCGACACCATGTTTGACTTCTAACCTGCGGGTTGGGTGAAAGCTCCGAACCCTCCTCCTGCACCAAACATGGTTGCAGTATCCATACTAAACTGCTGCTCCGCCCCAAGCTGACCTCCATATCCGCCCAGGAAGGTCATATGATCACCGTTGGACCAGGTTCCTAAAATATCAGAGGTGTATTTATTTTTCAAGATTTTTGAGGATTTGAGTGAAAAACAGAAAAATTGGACCTCAAAAGGCACGTCTTTTTAATACTTTCTGATTTTAACCCAAAAATTGACCTTACTTCCCCCAATAATTGACTTCAGTGGTTTGATAAACCAAAAATCATCAATAAATCTTCGCATTGCAAACCAAAATAGTTGAAGATTTAGATCAATTTATTACTATACAACTTATTCATTTTAACTGATCAAAACTTATTTCCCAGAGGTTACTATCGATTTTTTGAAAAACTGAGGCTGGTTACCCGAAACCCATAAATCCAATTTATAATTTAAATTAAACATTTGACTATTCTGGTTTGCCAGTTGAAGAAACGTGTGATTTGTGACCTACTTTAGTTTGTAAAAAATAAGTCCATTAAAAAAATATAGGCCAACAGCAGGTGGAGTCAGGATACATGTTCGTAGTGTTCATTCTAAAATCATGCTGTTTGAAGACTATTTTGTGAGGTTCGTGGCGGTTCTGCACCCGGCCACTCTCGAGATATCTGGGATGTTTAAAAATTACTTTCAAATCAAAGGTCAAAGTCCATTTAGGGTTGAACGTTTTCGTATTTTTCGAAGCAAAGACAGCCCCCCCCCCCCAAAAAAAACCCTAATTACCTTCTCCGACTCCAAATCCAGGATAATGATGAAAAGCTTGTGACTGTTGATAGAATCCATAGGGATCAGACGCTAGACTTGACATGGGATTGAATCCTTGCTGCTGATGGGTTTGCTGTTGATGTCGCCATGAATCAAACTCTGGACCCTGGGGCTCACGGACCCCGCCCCCGTTTCCTTGACCCTTCATTCTATTTGGGTCTTGAATACTCGACATAACAGTAGAAAAGTTCACTGTATTTTCTCCCAGACACCGGACAGTTTATTTTCTGAAATATTAACAAGGTTAAGTGATCCCCCTTGGGTCTGTCCTATTGTATACTTTTTGGACCCTCTCCCCTCCTATAAATTTTGTTCATAACCAGCTAATTTTCAGCAAAAGTATTATTAATTATTTTGTATTATTTAGGGTCTGTTTAGGTTCAGACACTTTCTGAGCAAAGCGTAGTATTAGTACATAATGCCTGCCACAAATTCAAATGAAGCCAAGAAAATCTGCCCCAAACATAATCTAAATGTATAAATCTGCCTCACAAATTTAAATAAGCTTTAAATCTTCCACAAAATGATGTTATATCATAACAAATGCCACAAGTTATACCCTGACACATATCACCTGCTACACATGCAATCAAAGTTTTAGAATATGCCACATACATATATATGAAAGCATAAGATATGTCACACAAACATTTCACCGTAAAAAATGCTCTCAAGTTATGTTTTGGCACATTAACTCTGCTACACGTACAATCATAGCCCAGAAAATATGCCACAAAAAGTATCCAAATGAAAACACATGGAAATGCCACAATTAAAAAATTTGCCACTATTCCAATCAAATCGCATAAACTAGGCGAAAATAATATCACCTAATTGCATAATAACCACAGAAGGGGGGAAGGGACATTATCTGAGACATAAAGGCAACTTTTTGTCTCACGCAAATACAAAATATCTTTTCAATAGCTTGTAAGAGAACGAAGCCATGTTCTAAAACAGACAAACTCCCAAACTTGAGCATCAGACTAAGACATATTCAATTGGAAAAAAAAATTATTGGGGTCTGTCCTAGTATACGATTTTTGGACAGGGGGTCCAAAAATCGTTCTCTAGGACAGACCCCCAAAACCTGTATCACTAATCAATACAATTAAATCTAACACATGGAGAATCGGTGTATCATATTACAACCAGCAGTTGGTAGACTTAGATTGGTTAAGTAAATAAGTTAAATTGACTTGACGAGATATGCTTAAATAAATGAAAACGATATTGGGTGCAAACATGATATAAACAAAAAGCAATTAAAATAAAAAAAATCAGCTTTATTAAAACCTATTTATCTGGTAAATAAATGCAAATTTATTGTTGTTAAACGGTTAATAAATGGCGTTTTATGTTTACAAGAATAAACAGTAATTTACTAAGTTTTATGGATAAACTACCCCCCTCCAATTCTTCCAATCAGCAATTAAAACGAAAACTTCAATTGAGAAATTGAAACATGGCGAAAAGGATGGGAAGTGTACAGTTTCATGAGCGAGTTTTCTTAGCACGATGCAAGTTTAACTTTACTAAAAAGAATAACTATTAATACCGAAAAAGATCTAAACATAAATATTAATCTTGGTGGATAAATTTAGTTGATATAAATAATTTAAACCTGTTTTAATTCTTTTCCTGAAAACTAATAAATAGAGTTTTTACTATTTCCATAAATATGTTTAAGTTTTAATAAATCAATGTTGCACCATGCTTAAGAAAGACGACTTTCACCGAAGATAAGATATTTGGGGTGGATTCGGTGGATCCGCATTTGGACAACTGCCGTTTGAACTTTAACTATTTAACTATTGATCGTTTGAACTATTGTTCATTATAACTACTGATAATGACGTCATTTCCTGTAGTTCAATAAACACACGATTTACTCATTGAACTATCAAATATGCAGTTTAAAATTTTACATTTCAAAAAATATCATCACAAAATTAACATGATCAAACAATATCACACCATGGACATAAGAATAATTCAAATGACCCAAAAAAAATAGTTCAAATGAGAAAATAGTAGTTAAAACGAGCAAAACAAAGTTCAAATTAACCAAAAAATATCTTTCAAATGAGAAAAAAATAGTCTAAATGATCAAAAAGATAGTTCAAACGAGCAAAAAAATATTTCAAATGAACATAAAAATAGTTAAAATGACAAAAAATAGTTAAAATTCGAGCTAAAAGAATAGTTCAAAAATACAACAAAAAAATAGAATGAGAAAAAATAATATTTTCAAATAAATCAAAAGATAGTTCAAATGAGCAACATTTGAATTAGCAAATTTGAAATAAATATTTTTGTTTATTTGAATTTTTTTCTCTCCACGGCCAGTCGAGAACGGTCTGCAACCCGTTCCGCTTCCGTTCTTTGTGTTCTTATCACTGTTCCATCCCAATTCTGTTCCCTTCTATATTATAACCGTTCCATCCTCGTTTCATTCTTTATACTCCAAATATTTATCGTACTTGAACAGTATCTAAAATAGTTTACAACGATAAAAAAATTGTTTCACATGCATGGATCCATACAAATAATTCAAATAACAAAAAATAGTTCAAATGAAGCATTTAATAGTTAAAATAAGAAAAAAGTAGTTCTAATGAGCAAAACAATTAAGTTCAAATTTTAACCAAAACGTATAGCTCATGAATAAGAAAAAATAGTTCAAAATGAGCAAAATAAATAACTCAAGTGAACCAAAACATAGTTCAAATGAGCAAAAAAAAATAGTTCAAATGATATCAAAAAGATATTTCAAATGAGAAAAAAATAGTTTGAATAAGGTAGCAAAAAGCAAAAAAATATTTTAGATAAATAAAAAAAAATAGCTCAAATGAGCATCTATTTTTTAGCGATTATTTGAACTACAGAGCGTCCCATTAGATTATCTCCAATCTGTAACGCCAAATTACAAAAACACATAATACTCAAAAAATCTGGCATTTTCTGCAAACAAATTCTAAATGAGCCTTATTAAATTTTTCAAAAGGATTCATTTTTCTTAAATTTTCTAATTTATCCCCCAAATCGTAATTTAGACTCATTGACTCAGTTTTATTTGATGTGGGACACCCTGTATTGTGAGACGTATTTACGGTGCATATTTGTTCAGCAAGAGCGCAAATTCAATTTTAAAATCTCAATCTCATAGATTTAAAATTCGAAAATATGTAAGAAAAAAAATTCGAAAATATATGAAAAATTCGAAAATATGTAAAAAATTCGGAAATATATAAAAATTTCGAAAATATGTAAAAAATTCGAAAATATTTTATATTTTTCAATTTTAAATCACATAAATAATCATAAACTTATCTTAAACTTGTAATGCTATTTATATCTACACTAATTTAAACCTGATGCGATCTTTAAATGTTTAAGCAATAATAAATATTTAAATCTTAAATAGATTGTTCATTTTGAGGGATAATTTTTATAATTGGTTTAAAAAGAAATATTATATGACTCAAGTGATTCCTAAAAAATTTCTCCACAATACTACATTCTCAGTTCAACTACCAAACATTGCCGGTTACTCCCTTTAGAGCCTCCATATTCCATACTTGTTATTTTTTTCTTGTTAATTCTCTGAAACTTAATTGACGTCAATGTGCATAGATTTAGTTGTAATTATTAAGGTATGAAAAATATTTTATAGAAAAAACTTGTTGTTGAAAAATTATGTTAATTTTCTTGATTGGTTCAACAACATTATTTAATTTTAATTTCGTTTTCTTGGATATATTTTTTTTAATCAAAAAATGCATGATATTTAAAAAAGACAGTTTCACTTCAAATCAGATATAACTAGGCATTCAGGGCGCTTGGCGCCCATCATTTATTTCAATTTTGAACTTTTCTCTTTGCAAACTTTATAAAAAAAAAACTAAAAATGTTCTCTGATTTAAAAAAAAAATTTCTTGTATTTTCAAAATTTAATGAAAATTTAAAATTTTTGTAGGAAGCTAATTTTAAAAATTTGATCATCAAAAACCTTCCATAGGGTCGTGCGAAGTTCCATGAATAATTTGGGCCGGATCGGTCCAGCCGTTTTGAAGTCTATTGGCAACAAACAAAATAATAACAAATAATACAAATACAAAGATTATTTTTTTGACAAAAAAAGGCAAATGAGATGGGCCTAGTACTAAATTGGCAAATCCTTCAGTCAAGTGATTAAATAATTTATTCATAGTTTTTATCAGAATTTTTGTTATGGAATTAAAAAGAAAAATACATTTATTGAAATGCTACTTTTTAAAATCTTGATGGGGAAAATCTGAATTCACAAACTGAAACAATTTAAGATATTAAACAAAATTCAAGAAAACCTTTATCCTTTCAGTGTAAGAATTTAATAAATTAAAGCCGTCTTACTAATCCCTCAAAAACCTGTTTCAATTAAGGGCCGGCTTAAATCTTGAACATTTAAATACAATTTAAAGTGGACCATCCATATTTGAGCCACGGCTTGAATTTAAGCCGTGGTTCAAATTCTTTAAATTCGGCCTCAGTTTGATCATTGGTTGGAATTCTAGTTAATTTGTTATCCTGCATAAAAGCCTCTTCATCAGAAATATTTTTTATTCAAATTATAATAAATTGGATCAATTCCTTCAAATTATTAATCATTATCAAAGATCAAAAACATTTCTATTTATCAATAAATTCAAGTAATCTTTAAAGGGATATATTGTAAATACTAAATATTGTATTTATTGTATTCTTGCTTAATATATTGTATACTTTCTGTATATATTGTATACATTGTATTCTTGTTGTATATATTGTAAACATTGTAATCTTGCTAGATATATTGTATACATTAGATACAATTTACTTGTTACAAATTGTTTTTTCTTTTCAATATAGATAAAATCCCGTATCAATCTAATTCTAATATGTAAATGTAAACTTTGTGAAGGGGTAAGTGCAAATTAATTTACAAATAAATATCAATTTACCTCTTAATTGTAAATTAATTTACAAATAAATATCAATTTACCTCTTAATTGTAAATTAATTTACAACCCCCCTCCCCCCTCCACTGTTTTCATTTACTCATAAATAAATGAATACAAAATTTAAGTCAAAATTGCTATTTCGTTAAGAAGGAAAATGTTAAAACCTAACTTTATGTTTGCAGAAAATGCAATGCACGGTGGTTGACCACTTCCGATTTCAATGTTGGTTTACATCCAGATTTTAAACAGAATACAGGATACAAACAACATGGAAAAGAAAAGAAATAAAAAAACTTCTTCTGAATTGCTTTTAAACTTGCATTTCGAAAAAGTTTGTTAACAATTAAAACTTTTTACTGTAATACATGTGAGCAGTGTAAACTGCAATATATAGGATTGACAACAAGATCTTTAGATGAAAGAGTGAGAGAACATATTGGTTACATTAGAAATCTCCATACAAACCAGCCTACAGGAGAACATTTTAACCTTCCTAGACATGAACTCTACCATCTAAAAGTTGGCGTTCTAGAGAAGGTTTGGGACCTCGGGAGAAGTTTACTTGAAGTACGAGAAACTAAATACGTTAGAGACTGAACTCAGTGGAATGAACAGAAAAAAATAGTTTTTATTTAATTGTAAACTAACATCTACTTTTTTTACTCTACAGAGGTTTGGTCCATCACCACCGAATTTTAGATTTAAATAGAAAAGTTGTCTTTATTCTATTAATATAATCTAATATCACACGGTTGCACCGCATCAAATTTTAAATCTTTGAAAATTTAATTTGTAAACTGTAATACAACGTTTGCACAGTAGCACAATGCATAAGCAAAAATTCATGCATTCAAAAAATGTATTACATTTTCGTATATGTTTATCGAATTACTTCTGTGAATAGAATTCTTATGGTATTATTTTAGAGTGAGGGGAGGGTATACAGTTACTATAATGTTATAGAGGACGTGAGTCAGACTCTAATAAAACGCATAAATAACTTCCAGTATATATATTTCTTATAACTTATTACTAGAGGGTTCAGAACTAGAGTCAATATCGATATCGCACGTGTAGACTGTAGAGATGATATCAGTACTTATGCCCCGTATCCGTTCTATCTCATTCTGTTGAATCTTGTGGAACTAGTTTAACGCGGCCAGGCATCGTCTTCCACAATGTCTCATTTTAAAAGAACATTTTATTTAAATATTTGAAACGATTAAATTAATGTTTCCAGCAAAAAAGGAAATCGTTTCTCGAAAATTTTGCAATTTACGCGAAAAAAATTTTGCGGGCAAATTTTCGCATTTCGTTTTTTTGCAAAAAATGTGAAAATTTTCGCAAAATTTCGCTTAAATCTGTCTTGAAAAAAATGGTATTTTTAAAAAAATGAAATCTTTTTGCGAAGATTTATCAAAAAAGACAAAATTTTGAGAATACAGAACTCATATTCCGCGAAAATTTTCGCCAAAAAACGTTTGCAAAAATATTTTCGCGAAATTTCGCTAGCATTTTTCGCGAAACGCTTTGTTCACTAGAAACCCTCGATTAAATCCGTGGTAAAAAATTGACAATTGTAAATAAGATTAAGGTACAAGAAAGAATTTGAGAATTTAGTAAAATATCAAAGATCTACGGCATCGAGTAGGGCTGGGTGTCGTTCCTGGGGAACGATGGTTCTTTCACGAGAACGAACGGAACAATCAAGAACGATCCCATCGTTCTGAAAAAGAACAAACGCATAGAAAAAGTTCTTAAAAATATTGGAATGATTAGTAAAAGAACAAACATGGAACAAACAGAAATTGATTGAAAAAACCGTTAAAATCAGGAACGTGTTCTAAGTCAAGTAAACATTTTAAATCAAGAATGTGTTCTAAATTATCCAGAAATAATTAAAAGATTTTTTAATTCTATCACCTGACCCCCCCCCCCTTCCCCGGCCTCCCTCTCAAGTCAGTGAGTGGCTAGTTAGATTGAAAGAAATTGCTTTCTATAATTTATTTATACATCTTTTTTTAGTATTATTGAAATATTGATTATGAAGATTATTTTGTTTTTTTAATCTACGAATTGGAATGGACCCTTCTAAGACTAAGAACACCAAGAACAGTGAAGCAGAGCAAGAATGGAAAGTTCTGGATAAAGGCCCTCGTTCTAGAACTGAAAGGAACAATTTAAAAAAAGTCGGAACGTGTCCAGCCCTAGCATCAAGCTGCAAAGATATAGAAATTCTAAACTCAGAGTTCGTGGCAAAAACTCAATTCTTTTATAAATATAAATTTAAATTTTGTTTGAGAGTTTGTATTTGAGAAAATGAAAATTTCTATGTTATTTTTTAAACAGTGCAATTAGTGGGATTTGAACATTCAAATTAAAAAAAATAGATTTAATGGCTTAGTTAATTTTGACAAGAAATATAGCTCTGAAGAGATAAGATGCTCTGAACCTGGCCTCTTTCAGGTAACACTACAGTCATAGTTAGGCAAGACTTAAAGCAGGTTCAGGTTAATATTCTGCATAGAAATGGCTTTTTTTTACAAACCATCTGAAAAAGTTGTCGAAGCACCTATCTTAAAAACAATTTGAAAAAATTGTAAAATAATCTTTTGTTCTTACCCCTGTTTCTAAAATAACAATTTTCAGTAAGGAACTGAATCTTTGCCACAAACTAAAATTTTCTATTTCCCGGTGTTGTTCACCTTATATATTTCAAATTATGAATTATGTTGTAGAATGATCTTAGTTTTAAAGATTAAAGGTTTACAGAATCAGGTTGCATATATATAGGGATTAGAATATTGGCAAAGATTCAATTTCCTTTGGTTTAATAATGTTTGATGTTTAGCAATGCAATGACTAAAGATATATACAATAATTTAGGTTAATATAAAAAGGTTTGATGTTTAGCATTGCAATGACTAAAGATATATACAATAATTTAGGTTAATATAAAAAGGTTTGATGTTTAGCATTGCAATGACTAAAGATATATACAATAATTTAGGTTAATATAAAAAGATCTTAAACATGGAGGAATACTGGAACTGTAGAAACTACACCGTGGAGAGTAATATTGGTGAATATCCAGGAGTATTCATCATCCTCACAATCCTCATGATCATTGGTACCTTCCTCTACTGGGTTCTTCGCTGCTACTTCAACAGCATTGAAGATCACAGGATGAACATCAACATTTTCCTCAACAAGCGGATAACAGAGATAATACTGGCTACTTTATGGACAATAGTAAAAATATGATATTAATAAAATGACTCTAAATTTACTACCTTTGAGCTAATACTGGCTACTTTATGGACAGTAGTAAAAATATTTTATTAATAAAATGGCCCTAAATTTACTACCTTTGAGCTAATAAAATTTGCATTATTCTGGATTACTTACAGTGAGAACCAGAAAACTTTGGAAGACAACATTATAACCAGACATTTGTGTATTAGAAATTGATACAAAGTAAATCAAGATAATAGTGTCTGTTTACACTGCACAGTATCATTGGACTATTTGAAGACATAATTTGAGTGTAAAAGGTTTCTTCCTGTTTTCTGGTTCTCACTCTGTAGTTTATGGAAAATCGAGTCATCAGTTTTATCTGTTAAAAAATAAACTCTTATTTTAGTGCCTATCAAACATGTGGAGCAGTGTAGTGGGACCAATACCATTATTACTCTGCAAGATTATCAGATACTCCACCATCCTGGACCTGTTCCTCATAGGAAACATCTTTGTCTTCATCTCCATTTTCAGAATCTTCATAGTTTACAAGGTTATTAATTTAACTATATATTTTCTACAGTGATACCAGAAACCTGTAGAATAGGAAAACGACATACAAGTAATACTATAGAACATTTTTTCTTATCCCTTTATCTTTGCAACCTGATGGTGAACACCTTTAATATTTCAAACTTCTCGGTTATTTGATTTAATAAAGTTATTTGAAATATCAAAGATCAACGTAATTTGGTTTCAACAATATATGGATTCGAATATCAGATTTTCTGGCAAGAACTCCATGTCTGATGCTTGTAATTAGGATAATAGAAATTAAAAGTACATTTAAGATTGATTTATGATTAAAATTGAAACACTTGTAGTATGATTGGATTATGGAGTTTGATCAGATGAAAATGGAACAACGATTCGTCGGTCTTGCATCTCTTCTCGGAGTTCTGGTGTATCCAGGGTTCTTGTGGGTAGACATCAAACGTGGTATTTAAATTGTTTTTAATAGTTTCTTTTAGGTAACCAACTTAATTATGCCAAATCTATTCAAAAAAGTTTTCCGTTTTTACAAAAAGAAATAAAAATTGTTTCCATTCAAAGGAGTTTTTTTTCTACTTTTCAGTTTTGACTTTTAAATTTTTTCTACTTTTCAGTCTTGATTTTCAAATTTGTTCTACTTTTTAGTCTTGACTTTCAAATTTTTTCTACTTTTCAGTCTTGACTTTCAAATTTTTTCTACTCAGAGTTTGTCTCTTAACAAACTTTTTCAGCTATAAACCTTATTTCGAATTTTAAACTGAATTTAAACTGAAGATATTCTGCAGAACCAATGTTTGAATTTTAACACATGCAAAAGAATACACATGGTAGGTTAGCAAAAGAATATAAGGAAGCAAAGAAATACAAAGAAGAGACCAAAAGATTGAAAAGAGTAAAAGATATAATCAAACATAAAAGGATGTCAAAGAAAAATGGCGCGAATTAAACAGATGCTGAAAAATGCCGGTTTTGTTTAGAACCTATATTTTATTATTACACCTTTAAAGCCTATTTAATTTTTTTAACATTAAAAATAAATCTATAATTTTTATTTCTAAAAGTTGTTAATTAATCGTCAAAAATCGCTAACATTCCACCACCAGTTATACAAAATGTAATGTTATAAAAAAAATATATGACTTCCCTTTTCCTTTCTATACATTTTTTTACCGAATTGGGGGGAAATATTCCCACAACCCCTAATTTTGTAGGGTTTTAAATATTTTCTCCTGAAACACAATTTATATGATTTTGTTATATTTCATAAATAGATAATTACTCAATTACGTATTACTTACAAAACTTATTGTATAGGAACTGTTCATATCTTAGAATCCTTTCAATCCAGATGCTCACCTACAGAGGACCAGGATTATGTGGCGCTAGCCAACGCAATCATCATCAGCTCACTATCTTCATACTCTCAAACATTATCCTCAGAATTGTGTTTCGAAACGAGGAGCAAGATAATTTCCAGGACTTTAGATTAAAATCCGTCACCATTGGGATTATTTTTGGTTTGGGTTGTCTTGGAATTTTTGGAGTTGTCATTTCATGGCCTAATTCAGATTATAACATAGAAACTATTTATGTTATAATTTTATCCAACATTGGTTTATTAATATTGTACATAATTAAAGAGAATGAGTTTACTTTCCCTTTTATGCTAAACCTGTTTCCTTGGAGTAATTGCATAAATTCTAATCTTGTTGCTCCTCTACCTCTGGCCGTTTACCCCCTGCAGGAGTTGAACTTAAGAGAACTGCAGAATAGGTCTTCTAACCAGGACTGCAGGGTTATTGATATTGAGGACGACGGAGGAATCTTTATGGGCTAGAAACTAGAGTTTCGCGAAAATTTCAATTTTTTGCCGAATATTTCTCATTTTTTCGCATTCCCTTCGCAGACAAAATGCAAAATTTTGTTTACGAAAAAACAAAAATGGACAAGTTTTGGGAATTGTTTTTCTTTTTTTTTCGGAAAATTTCACATTTTTTTGCGAAACAAAATTTGCAGAAAAATGCTCACAAAAATTGTTTTCGTTTTCTTTCACAATATTTATTTTCGTGAAAAAACGCGAAATTTCGCGAAAATGTTTGCGAAACACTAAAGAACATTTTTGCGAAATTTCGCATTTTTTCGCGAAATTTTCTTTTCTGGAAACCCTAGCAGAATCTAATATATGAGACCCATGGCCTCTGGATGGCTTCAGTCAACATCTCACCTAAGTCTAGAATGTCATAAAAAGTTACATCATTTCAAGACTGGATCGACTTTAAAGTGTCGCAGTGCCTAGGCCTTGGGTTTACTGTATATAGTGTTTTGTAGCCATAGACATGTACACTTTAGAACTTGTTTTTAGATTTAGTTTAAAAGGTGTTATTGACAAAATTGAGTTAAATTGAGCTTGTAACTTTTTGATCACTGCACAGTGCTACTTTGCATTTTTATTAATATTAACAACTTGAGTTGAAGCCTTGTTCTAATAATTACATGTTCTTACGCCTCCATCAATAAATTTTATGCCACAAAATAAAAATTTTAAAAGTGCATTTTTTCAAAATATAAATTTAGTTATACTGTTAATATTATCTTGCTTCAAGAACAAGATGAAGAAAGTTAAATTATAAATGTTTGTTTTCATTGTTTATTAAATTTATATTCTTATAAACAATATTTTAAAATAAACATTAGAACAACATCTTATTTTTATCACTTGAGGTTTATTTTCAGGAATGTATGTAATTAGATAGGTAGAATAAGTGGCTATGATATTCTATAGAATATGTGCATGACGTCATTGGTGTCCAAGGCAACACAGTTCCCACCAAGGAGATATTGAATAGAAGGAGGGGGCGATAGGGGTTCCGTATATACTTTGCTGTGACGTTTTTATTGCTGAAGAACTAGTTTTTGCGTAACAACAATTGACAAATTTGAAAGAAAAGAGGGCAAATTTTTTTAAAATGATAATCTGAAAAAAAATTGGGGGCATTTTTATTTAATTAGGGGCATTTTTTTAAAATTGGGGGCAAATGTGTTAATGGAATTTGAAAATGTTTTTTAATTGGGGACATTTTTTGTAATTGGGGGCATTTTTTTATAATTGGGGGCAAATGTGTTTATGGAATTTGAAAATGTTTTTTAATTGGGGACTTTTTTTGCAATTGGGGGCATTTTTTTTATAATTGGGGGCAAATGTGTTAGTGGAATTTTAAAATGCTTTTTTAATTGGGGGCATTTTTTATAATTGGGGGCATTTTTTTTATAATTGGGGCAAATGGGTGCAAATGTGTTAGTGNAAATTGGGGGCAATTGGGGGCAAATGTGTTAGTGGAATATAAAAATGTATTTTTAATAAGGGGCATTTTTTACTATTGGGGGCAATTTTTTCCCAATTTGAGGCAATTGGGGGCAAATGTGTTAGTGGAATTTGAAATTTTATTTTGATTGGGGGCTTTTTTTTAAATTTGGGGCAAATGGGGGCAAATGTGTTAGTGGAATTTAAAAAAAAATTTAATTTGGGGCATTTTTTTTAAATTGTGGGCAAATGTGTTAGTGGAATTTAAACATGTTTTTTTTTAATTGGGGGCAATTTTTTTTTACAATTGGGGGCATTTGGGGACGACAAATTTTTTGGGGTCGAGAATTTTGGGAATCATATGGACCCCTGTCACAGTTTACTCACTCATGTTTGTTTACATTAGATCCAGGCGTGTACACAGAAATTAAGCCAGGGAGGGGCAAGTTTTCGCGCGAAGAGCGGAAATTTTGTTTTTGCCCCCCCCCCCCTGGCCTTAAAAATGCTGTTATGCTATATTAAGTCTACTACATGTCCCCAAGGTGGCCCATTTAGTATTCAAGGACTATATATTACAATGTATCCCTCTGTTTAGTTCTGTATTACTCTCTGAAGTCCTAAGTAGTCTCCTGAGACTACTCCCCTTTCTAGTCCACTGTAGTCCCAATTCAAGGACTACATATTATAATGTATCTATCTGTATATGTAATACCCTCTGACGTCCTGAGTAGTTTCCTGAGACAATTCACCTATATAGTCCACTGTAGTCCCAATTCAAGGACTACACATTACGATGTATCCATTTGTATAGTTCTGTATTGCCCTCTGAAGTCCTGAGTAGTCCCATGAGACTACTTCCCTTTGAAGTCCTCTATAGTCCCGATTCAAGGACTATATATGTTAAATGTATTCCTCTGTATAGTTCTCTCAATTCCTGAGACTACTTACTTTTGTAGTCCACGGACTATATATTTAAATGTATCCTTCAGTATTTTCGGTCAAACGCTTGCATAATGCATATAGCTATAGTTGTTTATCAAGTATGCAGGAGGGGGGGGGGTGGAGATTTTAGATAAAAGGGAAATACTACGGTAAATTTTGAAAATAAATGGCGCGAAGCGCCAAGAAAATTTTCAACTATACTTTTTAAGGGGGAAAACACCCATTTAATGATGCGGGCAAGCTCTTTTTTTTAACCAGAACACCTAAGTTTTACCTTTGCCCAAAAATCCCAGGGGGGGCAAGAGGACTACTGCCCCCCCCTGTGTACGCTACTGATTAGATCGGCTGCCTTTGTTATTGTTGTTACGCAAAAACTAGTTCTTCAGCAGTCCAAAAACGTCACAGCAAAGTGTACGGAAACCCTATCCCTCCTTCTATTCAATATCTCCTTGGTTCCCGCCAAGGTTCATGTACATGTAAGGTTCGATACTCTGGATGCGTTCCAGTACTATAAATGTCGTCTTCATTGTAATGGACAATCAAAATCCTCAAAATGTCGTCTTCATGGTAATGTACACTCAAAATCCTCATATTTCGTAACAGACTATTGGCAGGATTGGCAAAAGATGAAGTGAAAACTTTGCTGGTGAAAGGGGGGGGGGAGTTAGAGTTTTTTCTCTTTTTAAACCTAACAAACGGAGAAAATCCTTTCCCCCCTCTAGTACATCAGAGACCATCTAGATTATCTAGCCTAACACAATCTTGGTTCCATTAACCAGTATTTTAGTGTAGAGAAGGTTAAAAACAATATTTCAGATATTACAGAGACCTTTTTGAGGTAAACAGATCAGAAAAGACAGTTGAATTTTAGGAGTCAAAATACTAATCCATAATATAAAATGATGTCTATCAAATTAATGAAATAAAATTAGCTTGCAACAAGAATACAGCTTAAAATGATGTTTTATCAAAGTGCAGAAATAAAATTCGTTATTAAGGGTTTCACTTCTAAGCTATACTTAATAGGCTAAACTTCAAGATTTAGATTTTCTCTGTAGCTTTATTTGAATATAATTTTAAGGCTCTATTTAACATCAAATAGTTGTTGGCTATTAAATCAATATAAAGCAGACTTTTTATTAATAATGTTTTGATCCCTAACAAGCATTTTTCAAAATACTATTTTTCAAGTAAATAATGAGAAGCTGTAAATTGACAACTTCTCTTTGTTTATAGGTTTATGTTTCTCTATTTGAATTTTAACTTGGACAATAGAAAGTCGTCTTTATTGTATTGATTTAAAAGCCAACCAAATTTAGGATAAGAGATGTTTAATTAAAATTGTAGAAAAATTCATTATCTAAAATTGTAAATTGTATTTTTTATTTTTGTTCCAATTTGATATATTGTTTTTAATTTTTTAGATGCCTACTGGGAACTCGTATACTGTGGATATGGACATCAATGCTTGATCTTGATCTTTAGATAATCTTCAGATTAAATTAATCTTTATTCGATATTCCGCATGGTAATCATATCTAGGGCTGGGCATGTTCCAACTTTTTCTAGCCATTAATGGTTAGTTCCAAACTTAAAAAAATAAAAATTTCAGTTAGCTGTTAATTTGAAAGGTAAGAACGGAATGTTTGTTCCGTTGACGGCATTTTCCGTTTTTTTAATTACAGTCGTTAACGGTATTTTACAGTATTAACAGCGTTAACGGCGAACAAAATTTCGTCAACAGTTTATCAAACTTTTTAAATAAAAAAAAAATGTCATGGAATTTTAATCAGAAAATGATATCATTATCCTGTCTGGGGTTTACGGGAGCTTGATTATGGAAGGAACAACTATAAAAGTGAAGACATGTAAAAGTTTTTATAGATTCTCAAAGTTAAAGTGCCCACAGTGGATTTCAAGATCAAGGGATTGAGATGATGAGTATATAACACAAAAGTTTATCTCTCTGAATATTTAGTTTGATCAAATTAAATGAATTAAACAAAGCTATTTTTCTTAATCTTGCTCAGTTGTTCTGGAAAAAGTTACAAATTCTGTTTTTGGGAAGGAGGAAGTTTTAAACAATTTTAAAATCTCACAGAAAGGTTTTGAAAAAGCCTAAAACTTGTTCATGAAACAACACTAAGAGAACTGGCAGCACCAAATTCATTACTCCAACAAAGCTTGTGACTAAACTGATGAAATTGTTGCTGATGTTGCTTCTATTGTTGAAAAGTAAATTGATCATGAAGATACAAACAAGATCGATATTGTTGAAGATCTTAAGAATATGTCAATGAAAGGTCTGGTCACCCTTTTCTTGAATATGACACCAATTATTCAAAAGCAAACCTTGGGCTGAAGTTTCTTCGCACTTTACCTTGTACTCTTGAAACTCTTCCCCTGAGAGTTGAAGGGATAATTTCTGGGTTGGTTTTCTATCAATTTTACATCTCCAGCTGAGTGGGATCTCTTGAGTTTTGATATTGGAACCTTTTTCTGATCAGGCCTTTTTGCAGAAAGTGGAAAAGCTAATTTTGCTGTTTGTTTTGGAGCCAGAGCAACAAGTTAAGCTTTCTTTAATAACCTAGGAAAAAAGATACTAAACTTGATTAGCTGTATAGGTGGGGATAGTTTGGTA